ATTAGAACAATGTTCGATTCACATTGGTTTTCCGGGCATAGCGAGTCAAAATATTTGAAAAACTTATAGTTGAATAATTTCTAAAGAATTTACTCTCGTTAACAGATGAAGGTTCATATTGTTGTCTTTGTTGCGAGAGGATAACTGTGCACGGCCTTCAGGAAAGGCCATCGAATTTCAAAACCAGTTTTTTACATCTTTCTAGCAAAAACGCTCGCATCTAAATTAATATAATTGTCCAAAATAAATATTAATACATAACACTGGGCTATAATTAGAGTTATAACGTTTAGGGAAGATTTGTAGGGTAATTGGCTACATAACGACAAAAAAATATTTATAATAAGATCATTGTATAAAACAAAACTCAGGGGTATTATTAATTTATTAAGATATTATAATTAATGTAATAACGTTCCGGACCACTCGTGTACGTTTATCGATTCATAATGTATTTATATACTACCGTTCGATAAGAGTGACGGGTTCGTCGAATGGCTGACCCTTTTCTGTCAACATGGTCAACATGAAAAGCAAATAGGACGAAAAGATCTATTGAATAGCACGGAAAAAACCAGATGTGACCCATAAAATCTTAATCAGATGCATAATTTCTCACTTTTCAGTTCTTGTTATTCGAAAACACGCGAATCGGATGTGTTTACATTAGTAATATGACCCAGTTGTGTTTACCTTTGTTTAAGATCGAACAAAGGGACCAAATTCATAAATTAGACTCAATAATTTTAAAATTGAGTCTAATTTGACTTGGTAGATCGTTCGGAAATACTTAAGATGGTCAACCTGACACTTATTTCAACTGAAAACCACCCCTGAGGTGAATGAAATGAATGAAAGATAAACTTTACTTTAAGACTGAATATCCCCTTGATTAACTAACAATGAATGCAACGTATTTACAGAAATTCAAGCGGAATAACTGATAAGGTTATGCAAAAATGCCTATTCTTTTTATTCTGGGTCACTGGTGACCACAGTCTCCCTTTCTTCCACCGCGGCCTAAAAGATCCATTGTTGAAATGGACCTTTCATTATTTCCAAACCTTGAAAACTCTTTGCGTTTTATTATCGCCTTTCCGAAGATTTACCCACAGGTACTTGTTCGTATTTTTAATTGAATACAAAATGGCCAGTCTGAAGGTTTATTATTTTCCTTATTCTGGCCTACTGAGAGAAGTAGATTTTTGTAGTCCTGGTTGGGACGTTAAGGAACTTTTTTGATTTTGTACCTAGTGAATTCATCCAGCTTGTGATCATTTCTATCTCAATCCATTTGTTCAGATCAAAAGTTAATTAGTAGATTGAGACGTTATGTACATCATTCGAGTTTGAAAATGTATTTACAAGCAAGTTAGAAAACGTTAAAATTTCGTCTATGAGACCTGTACCAATTGTCAGGTTCATTTTTTATTTTAGGTTAAATATTTAAACGTCGTCAGCAAAGAGTAAGACCGAGGAGACCTGCTAGTATCAAATACAATATAAACAGTATTAGGCAAAGGGTGGAACCCTGAGGAACCCCTTTAGAGAAGGTATAAAATATAGAGAAAAAGAACCTTCAGAGTTCTGTCAGGTAGGCAAGGAAAGAATCTGCTCCAAAAGATTCCCCCCAAATATCCAGACAATTTAACATGAATAATAATCTCGTGTGGTAGTATCAAATCCTTTCGACATCAACATGAGGGCCACTTTCTATATTATTAATAATAATTTCTTCAATACGTTACAAATTTTTGATAATTATTGTTACTTTCTTGAAAGCGTTGTAATTTCGTTTATTATAGGGCTGACTATTTTATCAAGTTTTCTCAGCCAAAGATGTAAAATAAATGTAACCTATAAATACAGAGTGTTCGGCTACTCGTGTTACAAACTTTGCCAGTAGATTCTACATTCAAAATGGAACCGAAAAGTACTACTTAACTATGGTCCGAATCTCAGCAGTTTCGGAGTTATTACACTTTTTCTGATTTTTTAAGATTTTACAACCTTGCTTCAAATGAATAATGATAACTCCAAACCGAAAAGGTTTTAAACAAATCTGTTGATACCATTGAAAGCTACGTTAAATTTCCAACGCGTATTAATACTAAACTTGAAACGTTCGTGAAATAAGCGTTTTAGTAGCCAGAACTTTGAAAAATATTTTTTTTTTCAAAGTTGAAAACTTACTACGTTGATTTTAATCTACTATTTCCAAAATTAGAAACCAGCAAATTTCAGCAAACGTACTCCATTTAATATCCTTTTTAATTCTAATATCTCGGAATTATTACACTTTTTCCTATCCAAACCACGGTTTTTCATTTCCTTCATCAATTTCCTCATCTTTGAACAAATTAAAAAGGATATATATCAACTTTGAAAAAAAAAAATTCAACGATCTGGCTACTAAAACGCTTATTTCACGAACGTTTCAAGTTTAGTATTAATACTCGTTGGAAATTTAACGTAGCTTTCAATGGTATCAACAGATTTGTCTAAAACCTTTTCGGTTTGGAGTTATCACTCATTTGAAGCAAGGTAAAATCTAAAAAAATCAGAAAAAGTGAAACTCCGAAACTGCTGAGATTCAGACCATAGTTAATTAGGACTTTTTGGTTCCATTTTGAATGTCGAATATACTGACAGTATGTAACACGAGTAGCCGGACATCCTGTATAGTCTAGAAAGACAGAACATAAGAACCTCATTATTTGTACATATTGGTTGGAAAGACTTCTTAAAATAGAGTATCTTGAGCGTCTTAGGGTAGCTGAGTTACCGGAAAGAAATCCATATTGACCCTTATCCACGAAACAAAAAATTGACCGGGTTTTGACACAGTTACGATAGACCCAAAAATCCTAGGGACAATGGGCACTCAGACGGTAGTTAAAAAATAACTTCCAAAGTAAGATATAACTTATTTACGTCAAATTAACCCTTTTTAATTTCAAATTAACCCGTTTTAATTCCAAACTAACACTTATTAATTTCAAACTAACTTTTCTTTAACGTTAAAAAAACTTAGGAGATGGCATGAAATATAAGCTTGTAAAGTAAAACTCCTGTATATTTTTGATTTTTTATAGTATAAAATAATTAAGCTCAGAGAAGTCAATTCACTTTAAATTAACAATTATTTCAAATGAAATGTAAAAACAAAGGATTATTATTTTAGTTTTTTATAATTACATATAAAATGGGTTCTTACATAAAATATTACATACAAATTAATTACACCTAAAATAAAGACAATATAAAATTTAAAAAAAAAATTCTTCTTCTATTAATTCGAGATTTAAAAAAGTGAAACAATTATTTTAGAGACCAGTTATTTGTATGCTTTGCAAGTGTACATAAAAACTAAAGTTTTATATTTTTAAAAAATTTCTAACTAAAACGAAGTATTCATTTTTACATTTCATTTAATATAATATTAATTTTGATAGCAATTAATTTTCACATGGTCTTATTAATCCAATTATTTAATATTAAACAAAATTCACAAATATACAATAATTTTTTTCCTTTACATGATTATATTTCATACAATCTTTTTTTTTTAATGCTTTAAAGAAAGGCTTAATTTGAAATAAAGAAGGGAATTTGAAGTTAAGCAAGGCTTTTGGGGGGTTAAAAAGGGTTAAAATTAAGAAGGTTAATATGAAGTTAAAAATGGGTAATTTGTCGGAAAAAGCGATATTCTATTCTAGGATAAAGAATTTTTAAACAACAAATATAAAGTTTTAATCCGATTCAAAGCACAACTTATCAAAATAATAGCCAAGAAGTTGTCGAGAGCAGGGGCACAAAGATTTGCCCAACTGTGCTCCTCACAGAAGAGGAGTGAACAAACGGGATAAAAGGGGTGAAATCTTTTTTTCAAAAACCTTTCGCTTCAGCTAAATCAGAGCCATTTTCAATAATAAATTGGTCAACACCCGCTATTTTTCTGTTTTTCGGAATTCTCAAAGGACCAAATATGCTTTACAATATTGCCAATTAAATAATATTTATGAATAATGACTATAAATACGAAATCTTTTGACAATTTTCTAAACACTATTTTTTCCGCGGATTGAATTTATTTTTTTCTAAAAACCTATTAGAAGGGTCAACCCTTTTAACAGGGACACATTCATCAAAGATCGAAGGAACGACTGAAAACAATAGTTATGTGTTTAGGATAAAGATAGGAAGGGCGTGAGCCTGTGACACAAAAAAACATGGTTGGAATACACACTGAGAATCGACGGACCATAAATATCTGGGCCAATCGAACTTGATAAAATTTTTTGTCGTACATGTTCAGCAGCAAATCGTCCTACGGTTTAAACGCAATTGTCAATATCTGAAAATTGACGTACACCAATTATTGAGAAAACCCTCAGCGGAAACCATTCCGATGAAGCTTAATAATGAATTTTCCCGGCAATTGGCTTATTGTTTTGTAATACACAATAATCTTACCTCATGGGAAAGAAAATCCTGTGGTATTGTAAATTACACGCGCGCTAACATCCGGTCAATTTAAAGTCAGATTAGAATCAGAGTGAAAAAAAATCCATTCCCCTTAAACATGTAATTATTTATTCAAAAACGAAAGAATGGTTTGCACTGGTGAAGATTTGTTTCAAATTATGGATTATTTGGTGTTTTTAATTATTTTTTATGATAAAATTTAATATTTTAAATATTCTTTATTCAAGCTGGTATGAAGCTTTTGCAAGGTCCAAACAGACACGTACACTTATCACCACGGACGAATGAATTTTCATAATATACTCTATGTCTCAACTTTAAATTTTACCAACAATTCAGACATGTCATTTTTGTGTGAGCTGTAAATTACCGCTGTACCATTCGTTGAATTGTCTATGAAAGTGTAATTGCCATTTTGCAATTTTCACCCATAGGCGAGATCCCGATTCGTCATTATTGTATAAATAATTCAACAATTATAGTCCCACTACTAATGACGTCGTTGTTTCCAGAAAGATGGAGGTGAAGGTGTCAAAAATGAACAAATTACTGGCCAAAAGGGCCCCCATGGATATAGAGTTCAACGATCTCACCTACACGATACCACTCGGCAAAAATGGTAAATTTTTTTTAATACATAAAAATACATAATATCATATTGTTTTAAATTTGTCTTGAATTTGATTAATATGCGATGTAATGAATGTCTAAAAGGCTCATCTTTGAACTATGGCCCTTTGTTGCTACTAGACTACCATTTTCACAATTCTGCCATTTTGTTTTTTCATATTGTTTTTTTTACAAATAAAACCCATTCATGTATGAAAAAAATGTTGGTTATGTTAAAACGAACGAACATTTTATTTTAGGATGAAATGGAAAATAATACTTTGAACTTTTCGAGCTGACTTCAGGTTCATTACATATTCTACAAACATTGTCATTTTGAAATTCCTTCGGGTATTTATTGCCCATTTGTATGGGGTTTTCCAACCTCCACCTTAGCCAATATTGGAGAGGAGAAATTGTTGTCCAAGCCTAGCGCATAACTTGAAATTTGATTGGTTTCACTAACGAGTGTTCCGACTTGTCTGCATTCTTCATAAAACATTCCTGGCAGGTCGACGGCTTAATCCGCACGTTTTCTGTTCCCGACCTTGTATATTCACTCAGAATTTGATTAGCGAATTTTGTAAGAGCAACTCGGCCTCAACCATCAGGGGGTGAAGGACCGGAAATTTGGTCATTTTCGTCTTATCATCCTCGATGTGTTGGTCTGCCAGACGCGTTTCGGCATTTCGTTATCTTCAACGTTGTCTTCTTGAATATTGCAATTGATGTGTATGAGCTGATTTTAATTTGTGTATTTATGACCTTTTTAGGGTTATACTTCTAAGTTTTCGAATAAGTACGACGTGTAAATTTCATGATTGTCTGTATTCTTCAAGGTTCTTGACTCGTGTTGATTGAAATTCTCTTCATTGTCCCTAAATGATTTACATATTTTTTGTATTTTTGCCCTGCCTATTATAACGAGACAATCAGGAGATGGAAAAATGCCGAAATACGTTTGACAAACCAAAATAATCGGCAACGACCAAATTTCAGAAACTAAACTTGATCATTTTTCCTTGGTATTTCATTCAAGGATTTGCATTTTTGCAAGTTTGATCGAAGTCAAAATCCAGGTCAAAACATTCCTAAGAATTACCAATAAAAATTGTTCACTATGTTGCCCAGGAATATAGACGTTAAAGATAATTTTTGTATTATTCCACGAGCAGTTAATACAAAAGAACAAAAACTCAAAAACTTTTTAGGAATCGTTGTAATGACAAGATAAAGGCAGTAAAATTTTTGTGGTTGTGTTTACCGCAGGTATTTTGACCAAATTTTCAGCTTTGGTTGCTTACTTATTTCCCTTTTTTTTAAATTTTGTTTGCTTATAAGATTGTGTGCTTCTTTTTTTGTGTGGTTTTGCAACTTAGGTATTATTTTGTCCTTTTTTTGTCTGTATTAAGTATAATTGTCATGTTTTTGTTTTTGTCTCTGTTGATTTTTTAGACATCGTACTCTTAAATTTCCATTTCTCCCCCAGGCATACTAGGGTCACTTCTCTGGACTCTTCTACCATAGCCCACTTCAACTAACTTTGAAATCCCAGCTAAGTAAAGATGATGTGCTTACTGCTACAGCTAACTGAAAAAGAAGAAGGGTGGCAAGGAACCAACAGTACCTTCAGATCACAACGTTTCAATAGACTTATGAAACATCTCAAAAAAGAACTATACGGACCCAAATCAGCACTCAACAAACACTTTTTTGACAATTGGTCCTCTTTGGTACTACACTAAGAAAGTACTATCTTACAAGTACACTCCAACTCAAATTTGTGACAATTCCTCCGGTATTAGAACAGACAATGAAAAAGCGCATCTTTCTGCTGTAGTTACACTGTAAGCTTTGACTAGTCACATCCACAGTTGAAGAAGAGTTACGTACTTTAAAGCTTTCAGGACACGACTCCTAATATGCTGCACAACTTACCAACACATTCCCAATTCAGTAGAAATGATCCCGAATCCTAACAAACCAGTCCAACTTCTTACTTCCTGTCGTCTTATCAGTACCATTTCCTTTCTAACAAGATATACTCAAATAACATAAAAGATTAATCTTTATTCCTGAGGAAGAAACTATCTTACCGGCCCATCTCAGTTTGGGTTACGCTTACTTCATCCCACCGTGCAACACGTGCACCTGGACAATAATGCTGCTTTTCCTGACCGAAAGCGTATTGCTCGGGGTGGGTTTCTAGACGCAGACTTGGTATGGTTTATAGTCGAAACTCAAAGATATACTCCTCTTATTTTTTACCTTATCCTGCCATCCATTCCTGTAATGATTATTCGGAAATTGTGAGATGCGGTCTGGTGTGATGTAGGTTTTAGAAAAACATTTTCTTTATCGTGCCAACCTTTTGATCTTTATTGAGATCATCTTCAGGGCTCAAAGTGTTTGTTTCCTGCGTAATTGTGCCATTCTTGTGGGTCGTGTTGCGAGTGCCACGACACAAAGAATGGCACAATTACGCAGAAAACAAACACTTTGAGCACTGAAGATGATCTCAATATAGATCGACCCTACGTCACACAGACCGCATCTCACGATCTCCGAATAATAATCGACTAACGGTCACTAATTACCATACAAACATCTAGAATCTTATAAAGAAGTATCATTGGTTCGGTCCTTTTTATAATATACAAATCAGTCATCTCCATCTCCATCCACACATTATATTACTTAATAAAATAAAACTGACTTCTGAATATATATACAGTTCATTTTTGTCCTGTCCCTTGTTTTTTGGCCACGCTAGCGGTTCTGGGTTCGAATCTCGGGATCGCCCAAGTAATTTTAATTGGTAATAACATGTAAAAAGTGGTTTTACTCCACGTTCGCGACATCCAGTAGTTAGTCGTTAAGGACTTTACTTAACCAAAATTTCATAAATCAAATATTTTTTTAGTAGAAATACTTTGATTGAATATAAAAAATATTTTTTGCATTGTATAAATTCACTTTTTTCCACATCTTACATGTATTTGTTAAATTTAAACAATATTTGTAAATCCCAGGCCCTGAAGATGATCTCAATAAAGATCGAAACGTTGGCACGATAAAGAAAATGTTTTTCTGAAACGTACATCATACCAGACCGCATCTCAAGATTTCCGAATAACCATCAAATATTTTGTTGATCACACTTCTAATAATGCTTTAAAAGTGTTATGGTATAGTTCATATGCGAATAAACAATAAGAATGCTCTATTAAGCATTGTTCTCCTGTTGTAAAATATGTATGATATAATGAATATCATCATACATTTTTAACTATTTGTAGCTCCGGGTTGTTCACGCATATTTGAAATCTGAAAAAATGTCATCTACTTTATTTGGAAGAGTTTTGTTTTTAAACAGTGATTATAAACATTTTGATTCAGATTATTATTTCTATTAAAGGAAATTTCCACGTTTTCATGTTCAAAATAAAGGTTATTACTTTTATCGCTTCTAACAAGAATGATAAAATAAGTCAAAACACGCCTATATTCACTGTCGGTTAAAAAAATACACATCACTGCTACAGCTTTCAAAGCGCAACAATTTTATAGTGGGAAAATAACGATGTCGTAAAATTATTGCGAGAACCTTTTGCCAATTACAAGAACTGGAACTACTTCAAAAGATGGTTTTTTAGTGCCAATATTTCTCTGAGGCTTTTTTAACATCGCAACGCTGGTTTGTATTTTTTTATGTTTGTCAGACGAGAAAATCAATATTTATTATCAGTAATAAGAAAATTGGCAATAATGGTTAATAAAAAAACAATTACCAACAAAACAATTAGTACACACGCACACATAAACCTACGAATTTAGTATGAAATTTTATAGGTCCATCCCTAACCATCCCTTATAGGTCTAAAGCACAAAATAAAATACGCGCGAAAGAACTGAACAAAAAGAAAACACGCAGAGGGCCGGCGATGAACTAAATAAATCTCCTACTTTATTATTACTATGCATATATCTAAAAACATAAACACACAATCAACAAACCAATAAACAACAGGCACAAAAACTAAAAGATACCAAAAAATCCAACATAGAGAAAGAAACTCACAAAATAACCAATTAATTAAAAAGACTACAATATAAATGGAAAACTTCTGAGACAAAACATCGACAAGACTCTTTAGATAAAAATGGACAGTAGCCTAGTAAATCACAATTTTTATCGGCTTCTGGTGTCTATTGGTTTTATATGTAGTTTTTTCCTTTTATTTGCAGAGTTAATATTGTTTTATGTGTTAGTTTTTATCCTTCTGTTTTGTTTTCATTTCTAATGCTGTTGATTTTTATACTTTTTTGTGTTTTATTCTGTTTTTATGTTTTTTATATGAATGTCTTTTCTGTATAATTGGCTATATTTTATGCCTGTGTTAATTCAGTTATTTTCGTGTTTTTTGTTAATTTTTTAAAAGATTGTGTTCATTCATCAATTTGGCTTGTTCTGGTGCTTGTTCATTTTTTTAGTTTTGTTTTTCGTGTATCTTTTGGTTTCATTTTTTTGTACAATTTCTTACTGCATGAGTTATGTTTGTTATTTATGTTGATTTTGTTGTGTTTCCTCTTTTGTTTTTATTTTTCAAGTTCTTGTTTATTTTTTTATCATTTTTCTTCGTGTCGTGTTTTTGTTGTTGTTTTTATTTTTAGCATACCCTTGTGACTACTCGTTAAAAAAAATAAAAATTAAATTAAAAAAGGAGAAAACAAAGCATAAAAAATGTTTATAAAATAATAACTATTATCAAGTGTTGTATAAAATTTTATATATTAGAATTCAAAAAGTAATTGAACGAGTTCTAAGTTGAAAGTTTTGATTCAATAGCAAAATAACAAGTGTTTACGATTTATCGAAAACTCACTGATCTTTGATACAAATTCAATTACCAATTGAGTTTTTATATCTTGGATGACAGTTTTTGACCCAGTTTTATATTAAAAAAAAAAAAAGAAAGAAAAAAGGGGTATTGTGAGTTTTATCTCAACGAACGTACAATTCACAGCGTATAACTTTTTTACTCGAGAAAAGTTAAACAATTTCGAGGGGTAATGAGTCCATTTGACCGTGACCCACTGTCTGACATCGGAAGATTAATAGCTTTTTTTTAAATATTTCGATTTTTTGAAGTGCGATTAATCTGCAATGCCAAGATAATTAGCAAGGCCTTCACCAGCTGTTGCAGCCGAATAATGGCAATTCATTCGTATGAAACTTGTGGAAAAATAGAAAATAATTCTTAAGATGGAAAAAATGATTATAAATGATACAGTCCATTAAATCATGGGTAAAACCTCTATCATGAATTTATTCAATTGCTTAATTTCTGATATCTTTTCTGTGGACAGTGGAAAATACTAGCAAATGTGGTTAGTAGAAAAATTTTCCATTGCGTCGTTGGACTATCTTCGCAACAATAATAATTTTTATAATTGCAGTAACGATTTGTGTTAATTGTATTTTTAATTCAGCTTGATTGCTTCCTGTATGGAGATTATTGAAAATAAATTGCCACTGTTTTCATCGTGATCAGTCGCCTTCCCGTACATTTAAAACATAGATAAATGATGTTCAATAAAGTTTGTAGACATTTATTAATGAGACATTGATGAAATTCGTCAGGCCATATTGTCCGGGGTCATAATTTAAACATAAGGTTGATTTGTTCGGGGTAACGTGTTCGTTGCATTGTGATTCATTATTGATTCACCTCACCTTTGTTAATTCGCAAGGTAACAGTTCAAGAACGACAATTGTCTTAACACAAATACAAACTGTTAACATGGAACGCCTTTGGAATTAAATCGAGCTTTAAAGTTGGTTATGCGAAGACCCCGTTCCTTGACACGGTAATTCAGGCTGTATTAGCGATTCAAGGTTGGAATTCGGAGATTTTCGGCATATCTGCTTCCGTATAAAGTGTGAAAAAAAAACGATCCCTTACATTACGTATCTATTTAATTATAGAAACCTTTTAAGCGTGACTAATTATTTTATGTTTCGTTGCAGCGTCGAAAATGATCTTGCGAGGTGTAAGTGGATATTTCAAATCTGGAGAACTCACGGCAATTTTAGGACCGTCTGGAGCCGGGAAAAGCACATTGCTAAATGTTTTAGCAGGTTATAGGTAAATATTATAATTCATCATCTAAGAAGCAACAAAAGCAACAGATTATCTGCTTTAAGTTTAAAGAATATCAACATACACACCCTCACATTAATTAAAAAATAAATACACAGCGAATTCTTTTTTTCTTATACCCGACAGACGCTATTAGTCATTTTCACTAGCATTCATTCACTTAGTAATGAACACAGAAAAAAACTTCTAGATTTAGCAAAAATAAAAGTCGACCGTCACACTCCTGTCTCCCTTTAAGTCATTCAAACTAATAATTGAAAATAACATATAGACCAACAACATTAAAAGGCAAAATGCAAAGAAAACTTGAGAGAATACCAGGATGATCGGAAAAGACCACAGCTTTATCATCTTATGAAAATAACTAGTAATAGAGATTGAGCAAAAATCAGTCAATAGAGCATAAGAATGGCACATTCTTTTAAATTTTACAATGTAATAAAAAGACTCGACTGACAAAATAAACATACCAACCATAGTAGATGGTTAAATGCCAACAAAACCTGTGAGAACTGTAAGACTAGGATGACAGGAAATGACCAAACAGCTTCACTCTGCAGACCTCATGAAAAATCTCATAATTAATTAACAGTTTATTTTCTAATGTTGTGTATACTTAAATAATGCTCTGCAATTTGGTATAGCAAATGTTGTATATGAAAATAACTCGTCATGAAGATTGAGCAAAAAATCAGTCAATAGAACATAAGACTGGCATATTCTTTTAAATTTTACAACATAATAAAAAGGACTCGACTGACAAAATAAACATACCAGCCATAGTAGATGGTCAAATGCCAACAAAACCTGTGAGAACTGTAAAACTAGAATGATAGGAAATGACCAAACAGCTTTACTGTGCAGACCTCATGAAAAAATCTCATAATTATTTAACAGTATTTTCTAGTGTTGTGTTCACTTAAGATTAGTCTGGTAGAGCGAATGATCTCCATTTATCTAAGAAAATAAGTAGAATGAACAGAAAAAAAAAGATTAAGCAAAAATCAAAGTGTTGTCAGATCACACTCCTTTTACTTTTTTTTTTTTTTTTTACATTTTGCAACCTAATTAAAAAGACTGTACTGACAAAATAACACACAGACTAACCACAGAAGATGACAAAATGCCAACAAAACCTTGGCAGACCAGAATGATTGGAAAAGAACAAACTACATGTTCACCACATGGTTTGACCATAGAAAATGTTGCATAAAATAGCTATGGAAACCAACTAGTCAATTGGTTCAACCTTAAAACAAGCATATTTGCTGATGTAAATTTCTATTTTGGGTAAAGTTAATAGTAAAGGACCAGGATTAGATTACTTCTATCCTGCCTGCAAGAGATCCTATCGCCAACCAAATTATTCTTCATTTCTTCATCACCAATTTGGCCTATAATTACCACTCCACATGCCAAAAATTGCACGTAGACCTCATCATAACATTCTTTAGTACATACATACTTTCTCTTCATAAATCCTACCTATTCTGATCGTTTCTTCTATGTTACTTATCAATCCTCAACCTCTTCCATGTTCCTAGCCAATACCTCAAATTCCATTCCAAATTATCTTTTACTTCCAACTTCATAATCTGTGACCATGCCACTGTTGTTTCCTTGAAAACTATCTACTTGTGTAGATAAATAATAACAAAAAAATGTTAATAGTAGAAACCATTGGAGATGAATATTTCCCCCTAGCGTACATACCAATAGTAAATTTTGGTAAAGTAAATTAATTCCTGTCATACAGGGGGCTAAACATCCAACTATACATTGGGTATCATGGATGATGAAAGTTATGCGGCTTTGCAATATTTTTTTCATATTATTCTCATTTAAAAATCCATGGTCTATGCCAGGATTCAAACTGCTAGCATGGCCAATACAAGTCAGTCACCCTAATCACACGGCCACCGCAGTCCTCCAAAAACCAATAGTTATTCTATAAGTATTCACAAGTATATCATAAAACATAATATTTCAGTTGAACAAAAATTATTGACTGTGAATTGATTATTATGTATCAAACAGGTCAGAAGATGGCGGGGGACAAATAATGGTTAATGGGCACCCTAGAGATTTGAACATTTTCAGAAAAATCTCAAGGTACATTATGCAAGAGGACTGCCACCAGAAAGGTCTCACAGTATTCGAGAGCGTTATGATATCAACAGATTTGAAACTAGGTACAAAGTTTTCACAGGACCAAAAGCAGCACATGGTGAGTAGGTTGTCACATTAAAAACATGTTTTTCTATAATTGATTTTATGTTTGTTTTATTCTTTATGTTATTTAAGGCATTGGAGATAATGGAATTATTAAGACTGACTAAGTGTAAAGACACATTAACAACCAAGCTATCTGGAGGAGAGAAAAAACGATTGTCAATTGCTGTTGAGCTTGTTGACAACCCTCCCGTATTATTTCTAGATGAACCAACCACGTATGTATAAAATTCATTATACATAAAAGTTAATATAATATTTAATCTATTTTAACAGGGGACTTGACGACCTGTCTAGCTCTCAGTGTATATCTCTACTTAAGAGTCTTGCACAAGGGGGAAGAACAGTGATTTGTTCTATTCACACACCAAGTGCCAAATTATTTGCCCTTTTCGACAATGTTTATATTGTCGCGGAAGGCCAGTGTGTCTTCCAAGGGCTAGGTGAAGACATCGTGCCATTTTTAGCAATACAGGGACTTCATTGTCCGACACATTTTAACCCTGCTGACTTTAGTAAGTGTTTAAAACACAACTAACAAGAAAAAGACGATAATACAATTTGTTTTTCAGTATTAGAAGTATCAAGTGGAGAATATGGTTATTACGTAGACAAAATGTCTGCAGCTGTTGAAAACGGAAGATGTCGGAGATGGAACAGAAAAAACAGTATTGAACAGTTCAATAGGGAAATGTCCGATGCAGAGCTACAACAGTTGAAAAAAAGTGCTGACTATGGCTGTTCGACATGGGCACAATTTCTTATCATAATTAGCCGAATGTTTCTTCAATTTTGGCGGAACATGGTACATCAACAGTTTTCATGAAGAATATTTTACAAATGATTATTAATAGATTTTCCAAATGCTTTTAACAGAGCTATCAACTTTTAATCATATTTATGCACGTACTCATTGGATTGGTGATAGGAGGCCTTTTTTACAACTTTGGAAATGATGCCTCAAAGACTTTATTCAACTTTGGGTTTTGCTACGTTTCAATGATTGTATTTATGTACACTCCCATGCTTCCAGCCTTAGTATGGTGTAAGTCTTCAGGTTTAGAAAATCATGTTTTTGTCAATTTTTTTATTTTTGTTATGTTTATTTTTAGTTCCTATGGAAGTGCAACTAATTAAGAGAGAACATTTTAATCGATGGTATAACCTGAATTCTTATTTCATGGCTATTACTCTTTCAAGGCTACCAATGCAGGTATTTTTTCAAAAATGAAATAAATTATTTAAATTTAAATTATATGGGTGTTTCAAACAACCAAACAAACCCTACTTAACATTTTCTTGTGGCTCTGTTTGTCTATTTTTCTACTTTTGAGAAAGTAAACTACAGATAGTTAATAAAATACAATCATTGAGGATGTAAATAATTCTTTACTAATTATGTCTTTGATCGACATGTTTTTTGAGTGCAATAGGAGGTTCTATATTAATGAAATATTAATTTTTTAGAATAACATACTCATAACACACTGATTTCCTAATGTTCTCAGTCCCTCACAACTCACTCACAAAACACTTACTTCTCTTGCTCATCCCCTAATTCTTAGAAATGATGATAAAATTGTAGAGGCTAAATATAAACTATATAAAAATTGCTCTAACAATTAGGTGAGCCAGTTAGCAATTTTGAAAGTGATGGAGTGGGCAAATGGAGCTTATATTCCAGCCCAATGAAAAATTAGTTTGCTATCATGACTGACAGCCAATCACAATCGATATTCACTAAATAATACAGGGCTATTTGAAATGTGGAGGCAGATCGCTTTGCAAAAGAGTATTCAATGGACGAACTCTTGAAAATATGCTACACCAAGCTCCCCAGAACAAATGTAAAAAAAAAAAAAATACTGTATTAAAGCACAATGGGAAAAGGAATGGAAAACACACATAAAGGATATATGAAGAAATTCTTCCCCACCAGTCAAGGCTGTCATTACAAGAACTTCCTTTATGTCAAGTTTGACAATGATCTCATCAATTGTGCCATACATGGGACAATTTTACAAAATAAAAATAAGCCATGTTCCCTGCTGTAAGTGTGATGGCGTAACCTATTAGGGCATCACCCACATATTTTGTGCTCGTCCCAGATTGGAATACATAGGTAGATTCTATTGAAGGAGTACTCTCAAAAACAAAGCGTGGCCTGTCCAAGAGAAGGATCTGCTTAACAAAGATATCGTGAACGAGCTGTACAGTTCATTGATAAAAATAATTTTACCTTTATCACCCTCAAAAAAAAAAAAAAAAAAAAAAAGTCCATACTCAGCTTGCAATATTGTAAATATACGAATTATTAACATAAACAATGCGATTGACCATATTTGTTATTTGAAGTGAATTCCTCAATCCTAGGGTATAGTGGGTCAAGAAAAAATAAATGAAAATAGCTGCTGGTAGTATGTTAATGAAATATTCATTTCCTTGACTAAAATTCATATGTTCATTTCTATTTACAATCCTTTGCTGATAGGAAATAATTGCAAACATTAATAAATGCAATTTATATTTATTTTGTGTCATATGTTAATGACGTATTTATTTTAATCATGCATTTATGTTTCAGTTGATGTGCAGTTTCATATATGTAGCAATAGTATACTTTATGACAAATCAACCAATGGAATTGGAAAGAATATTAAAATTCACCATGATAATAACATTAATTGCTCTAGCTTCTGAAGCTTTAGGTTTAGCTATATCATCTAGACTAGATATTGTTGTAAGTTTTTTTTTTCAAATAGTACGTTTTGTTTAAATCATGTTTGAAACAATAATTATTGTTCCAGAATGGTATTTTTGTTGGACCAGCCCTCTCAGTACCGTTCATGCTCCTTGCTTCCTACAGTTTTGGCATCGGTAGTCAAAAAGTACCGACATGGATTTGGATCGGTATGCAAAGTAGTTACTTGAGATTCGGCATTCAAGGATTAGTCGTTGCAATTTATGGTGATGGAAGGCAGTCTATGGTCTGTCCTAAGGAGGAAATGTACTGTCCATTCAAAGCCCCGAGGGCATTGCTCAAAGAAATTGGTATGGAAAACAGTGATTACTGGAGTGCTGCTGGTTTACTCTTTCTCTATTTAATTTTGTTCAAACTCATCTGTTATTTGATATTGAGAAAAAGGTTGAGAAGAGAAAGGTCAACAGGCCTTGCATTTGTTATCACCAGGTTTGTTAAAAGTCATTTCAACCTAGCTCACTATTAAATTGCCAATTTTTTTTTTACATTTCAAATGGCTAAATGGTTTTTCAAGTTTAGACAGTTCCTTTTTAGGAAAATCTTTCTAGGGACCAATTTTTATTATTATTATCACTTTTGTTAAAACAAAAAGAAATCAAAACTGTGGTTTTAGTGTAGTTTTGAAATTGGTGGTGTGTAATTTCATTCTGTCTGTGATTTATTTACTTATAGTTTTGCTCAATATTTGTACAATTTGATCAAAAGTGCCTTTATCTTTGAAAGAAATGAAGAAAAAAAAATTAATTTCAAATTCATATTTTATAAAGTTAATTTAGGCGTTATATTTCTGGAATCCTTTTCTTTTGTTTTGTTAGTTTATTCAGCCTAGTATGATATAAAAAATGTATTTATTTATATTTTGTACAATGAAATATAGTTTATAAGGCTATTTTCATGCAAGTTTATTGAAATGTGAAAAATTTGTACATTAATTATGTATCTTTAAAAAAAAAATTCTGTCAGAATAGCATTTGATTAGAAGTAACTTCTAGTAAGTTCTGTTAGTTTAGTTTAATAACTGCTCAGATAGCTTTATTGTATGATAAGTGTGTAATTATTATATACAATAATGTAAACATTGAAAGATAACAGACATGTTCTCTGTTACTATTTGTGACATAAAAAAATATTTATTTTATATAAGAAAACAAAGTTTTTAGTTTATTTTTACATATTATTAAATATAAATGTTTGTACATGAATTAGTGTTTTTTTAATTTTTACTATTTTTAATAAGAAAGAACAACATTAGTATAAATAGAATATTGTTGTAATGTAATACTGATATGTGTGGTGTTTAATGTCCGTTGGCCAATGATTATTTGGAGATCGTGAGATGCAGTGTGGTGTGACGTAGGATTTAGAAAAACATTTTCTTTATCGTGCCAACATTTCGATCTTTATTGAGTCATCTTCAGGTCATGGGATTTATAAACATTGTTTAAATTTTACAAATACATGTAGGATGTGTAAAAAATAATAATAAAAAAATTGAATTGGACATTGACTCTGCGCTAGAACTGTCATTTTCTATCTACTACAAAAATTAACATTAGTAAAAAAAAATCGTATATATCCGCGCACACATGCTCAAACCAAACACACACACACACACACACACACACACACACACACACACACACACACACACACACACACACACACACACACACACACACACACACCACGCACACATTTAAAAATGAATGAAATTGAAAAATGAAAATAATTAAAATTATTTAAATAAAAATTAAAAATGGCGTGAAGGCAAAAGGTAAGTCGCCCAATGACGTCCTAACCTAGTTATTAAGTAGGTCCCTTGGCGACAGTCTATTTAGACAGCGGGATTTTGTAGGGGGCATATTTGATGGACAAATGGGCCAGTGTGCATACTTATGGAGTTATGGAATTTTGTGTAACGGTAAAGTATGGGTATTAATTAAATAAATAAATAACGAATAAACGAAAATAAAATAAAAATGGAGACTCACCTCGAGCCGCCGCCTCTTGTCGTAGTGGTGCGGGGGTGGAGATGCGCCCGGGAAACGCTTTACCTCGGAGTCCGGCAAAGACAAATTAATCGGTTAAATTCACCACCACGATTTCGAATGAAAATACAATAATTATTTTTATATTACTTTTACGACCAAAAGCAATGTTAATTCGCGGAACACTTAAAACGCACTGTCTTGGCTGAAAGGGAGAAGGGATACGCGGGTCACCGGTACAAATCACCTGACAACTTCCCTTAAACGAATCGCAAACTAGAGCGAACAGAAAATATTGCCGATTTAAACCAAGATTAAATCTAGGCAGATAAAAAAAAACTTTTTTGCTCTTTGATTTTTATTTTATTAAAAGTGTTAATGTCGAAGGGAATTTTTTTTCTTTTCTTATTAAAAATTAGTTAATTAAAAATTCAAATCAGTTTTCCTTATTTTATGCCCTTCGACCTCTGATTGGCCCGCCGAATGGTCAGATGATTAGTGGGCGGGCTAAGTTATGAACGTTATACAGTCCGCTTTTCGGCGGTATTTTGTAGTTGAATGTCCGTTAAACTTTTGTTCTTGGTATCTAACCGTAGTCAACGTCTATCTTTTCTTAAAATAGTGCTCGCTTTATTTCAACACCGAGAAAATTAACTCGGGAGAAGTGCGGTCCATGTTTTACAGCCAAGCATTTTTCCTCATCTTTCGCGGCGGAAAACAGCCCTTGGAGAGGACCTACGGGTATCCTGCAGTAGCGAATTGTCAAGGTGAGGTTAGCATTTTTTGTTAATTATTTTAAGAATTTAATTTATTCTATTTCAAAGTTTTATTTTAGTTTAATTTACTTTTTAATTTTAAATGGCCTAAAAAAAGGATAAGCTGTAATATAGCCCATAATTTTTTGTTAACCCCGGGATTGATGTGGATTTGGGGTTGATACACGATGGGCAATGGCTCGGTGGGTGGCGGAAGCGAAGTTGGAAGTACTGAAGGACTTTAGGTGTTCCAGGGACGTTGGCTAATAGAGAAGAAACTGTCCTAAAGTCTAGTACTCACTCTTAGACAAAATCGCACAACTCATGTCTATAGACAAAGGTTTGCGATTATCTTATAGACAAGTCGGGAACAAATCGCTTGTTCTGCAACAATCTGTATACAAAAAATCTCAAGTCATGGTCTCCCAGCTCGTATGGAAAACTTGAAACGTGTTGCGCAACATTTCGTAGTGTGGAGGTTCCTCTGAATCTCGTTTCTTGGTCGAATATTTGAAAAAAATTTGTCGAAATTTTGGCAGTAGCAACTGAATTTTATTTCTTCTTCAAGACCATACCTTGATACAGTGTTCGAAATTTCTGAAACTGAACTATCTTCTAATTTTAATTTTCCAGAAGAGTCATTCCAAATATAGGACCATTTGCTATTACCTTCCTTGACTTATCAACGTTAACGATTAATCCATTTATGTTTAGTGGTCTAACGGACCAAATTACTTATTTCAATTAATTCCGCTCGCATCAAATTTACTCACTCAGCCACAACTCACACACTCCCCTAAAACCAACAATCATACTGTCAATCACTCAATCGTTTTCTTAATCATATATTGTGTTTAACTTATTTTGTCCCCCCCCCCCAAAAAAAAAAATCTAAAATTATTGAATACAACGTAGTCTTTGTTAATAATAAGAACAAACGTGAACAGAGTAAAATAACGATTTGTGTTTCGTTGTATCGAAAAGTTTTCAATGGGTTGCTCGTTGCAACTTACATCGACCAACGGCAGGAAGTAATAACTGATGAGAAAACTTTTTATTTACTACCGTCAAATGAACTAACAAATGAAATAAATCTACGGATGTAAATTTTCCAGGGTCGCAATTTATATGTAGTACGGTTTTTCTTAAGAGCTATACGTTTTGATAAACTAAGAAAATGATAAATGATAGAAGAAGGCAATAAATTTAATCCTGGAGCTTTCGGCTCCCTTGAGTTGAAAGTTCAAAATTTAGCACAATTCGTGTCAAAATGAATATGTAAATAAAGATTTAATAGCATCAAAATAAATGAAACGTACTTAATTAAATAAGAAGGGAAAAATTAACCGAAATTAACCGGCCAAGGTGTTATAAATTGTAGGGGCAGGTAGTCGAAAAGACGGGACTTAAAGGTGGAAAAGGTTGAGGCACATCGAATGGAGTTAGGTAGGGAATTCAAGAGGTTGTAAGAACGGATAAGGAAGGAAAGACTAAAAGCGGATTTGTATGGGGGTAGAGAAGGTAGAGAGCAGAAGGGCGGATGGCGAGTGTATATAGAAGGCTTAAATGCTAACAGATTATAAATATAGGAAGGGGAATGAGACGAAATTGTTTGATAGAGGAAAGAGCCTAGAAATTATAGCCTGTGAAAGGAAGGGTGCAGCCATTGAAAACCACAATATATATTAGCATATGAGATCTCTTTAGGGAGCTAAATATGAACTGAAGAAAACAGTTAATTATTCTCTTGAGACCGGACAGCTATAATCGAAATGGGTAAGGGGGTTGATACTCGCGGAGTGAATATCAGAAAGTTGAAATGGCAAAACAGATTAAAAATGTCCTTTATCTGGTTTGTTAAATTTATTTCTTAAATTTTTCGTGGACGGATTTGTCTTAATTTATCCTAATTTATCCAAGCTATTTTGTCTGTAGAGGCAGGAAGAATTCATAGAAAATGATGGAATCAAGAGGCAAAACGGCTCATTTGTTTTTAACATCATCCTTTCATTCTTCTTTGTGTCTTTGTGTTCAATTCATCAAGAAATATTTTGTAATATCAAAGGGTTAGTTTTTCCTATGAGCAGAGCTCAACTGTGCCCTTAAACGAAAATTTTCTCTCTCCCCCCTTTTTAAAAAATCTAATTAAAAACCAATTATCTCCTCGCTTTAGAGAGTTTACGTTGGATAATCTATTTATTAAAGCTTTAGTGTAAAACAAGGACACAACATAAAAATAAATTTGAGGGAAATGCATTTTCAGAAGAAGAATAACTTTTTTTAGAATTTAAATAAAATAGAAATAAAGGGAGCGAGGTTTTAAAGAAAAAATCTAATAAAACATTGGCTTGGCAAGAAAGTAATTATTATTATTATTAATTTTTAAGAGCGTTTTAACGGTTAAGATCATTTCACGCCAGAACATTTAAACCTTCTATCTTAGTAAATATTAATCCATTATGTTTAGTGGTCTAATCACCAAATTACTTATTTCAATTACTTATTCTTTTTATGTAAGGTCTTGGTTGAGATGAAAAAGTTAGTGTCACGAGCGGAATTCAAACCCACGACCACAGGCTGGTGTCCCGAGGATCGACGTCACGATAGCTCAAGTGGTTAGAGCAAGGTCGTGGGTTCGAATCCCGCTCGTGGCACTAACTTTTTCATCTCAACCAAGGCCTTACTTAAAAAGAACTTCTATCTTAGGTTAGCTATATCCCTTGTGAGTGCTATGAAGCTCTGACTTCAAACATTCACCCATAAACAAGTTGCCATCCAAAGCATCATCATTATCATTTCAAAATACTTAATTTGGAAGGCCAAATGTATAAAAAACCCTTTTTAAATTATTCCTGTTCTTTAATAATAATTTCGAATTTTCGTTCCGTACTTTAAACATTTTCCATAGGCTTGTATGGCAATAATAATAGTCAGACTAGTAACAATCTCAATATCCTTTTATTCTTCCATTCAAATTCTAAAATACACTAATGCTATTTAACAATAATAATAAAAAAAACACAATAACACTTCTTTTTCTTTATCCTCTTTTTTTGGACGCTATGTTTCTTTCGATTGTGGGCCTTGTAGTTTATTACCCCGCAATTTTTATTTTCTTGTATTGCATTTTTCCGCCCCGGCAGCAGCCTCATAAATTATTTAAAAAAAGAAAGCATTCTTGCAATCAGAACTCTCATTCAAATACTTGCGGACCAACATTCAAAGGTATAAGAATTTGGGAAAAGTCCTAAAATTATAAAACACCAATAAATTTAAGAAGGCCGAAAAGTGCTCTTGAGAAACGAACACTGGGGTTGAGCCTTTCTGACTTGAAACATTCACTCATAAACTAATCTATACAGTTGCCATCCAAAACTTTAATTTATCATTTTAAATACACAATTTGTATTTTCTTTTATTTCATTTTGTCGCTCTGGCAGCCTAAAAAATTATTGAAAAAAGAAAAAATTCTTGCATTCAGAACTCTCATTTAAACCCTTGAAGAGAAACATTCAAAGGTATAAGAATTTGGGAAAAGGCCTAAATCTCATTATAAAATTTCCAATAAATTTAAGAAAGCCGAAAAGTGCTCTTGAGAAACAAACACTGCCAAGTTAGCCTGATGTGACCTATTCGCAATCTAGAGAGGACCACAAGTTCTTTTCTCTCAACTTCCTCAGTTTCCCATTTATGTTGTTAATGTTGTTTGTTTAATGCTGTTAGGATTAATTAGCTCAATATTTACATTTTTTTGTTCTGTATTATTTTCGTTTACAAATACGAAAATACGTTTTAATCCTTAAATTGAAATGTTTTATTTCTCTTCAGTTTCTGTTTTCATCTTGTTTAGTTGTATCGAATAATTTAATAGGTAATCAGATCTTAGTATTAAACGTTTTCAAGGCATTGTTTACTCTGTGAATTAAAAAAAACAATGCAAATGTTGCAACTGAAAATTTGTGTATGGTGTTAGGTACTAATTCTGTAAACTTTCGTAAAGTGCAACTTTGGTTTGCTCGATTTAAAGAAGGAAATTTTGTTCTTGAAGATGATGTGCGCAGTGGACGTATTTTGTTATTTATTCCTAACTATTCGTATTTTTATTGTATTAGGTAAATAAAATTTTTACTATGTTAAATGGGAGTTTTTATTTTTATTGTAAGTTTTTTGGCACGATTTTGATGTTTTTATTGCACGGCTTGAAGGCTTTTACTGCACGAAAATCCGGTCTTTAGTCATCAGTCACTAGATCACAAACACTAGGAGCACAGTAAAACCCCACTGAAATTCTTCATCGATATTGTACAAAGATATCAGTACGAAAAGCATAACTTTTCGGCTGAAATGTAGGTATTGTTTGATAAGCCGAGCATTTCAAAGCTAAGATTATTAAAATAGAAATTAGATGATGCAGGCGGTTTTCCCTCAACAATTTGCATTCCAGACTTAATAGTTGTTTAGTGTAGGCGTCTAGATATTATACATGGATCAAAAAATTGATAACTTCTCTTAAAATAAAGTTATAAATTAAAGTCTGCTAATTGATCGGTGGTGTCGGCCTTCCGAGGAGTTGAGCTCATAGTGCTCGGTGGTTGTAGGCATTCGTCAAAACTAATCCCTCGGCCCGTGTTCCTTTCAAGCCGAGGCCCTTTGCTCCTCTGTCTTAAACCTAAGCTCCTCACTAGCCCAGGCATTAATTCCGATTTTACAAAGAGCGATTTCCCCGCTGAACAAGTTTTAAACCTCAACTTCAGTCCCCATTCCTCTTCCTCCGTTCACAGGCACCTATTTGCTCTGAAATTAAGCCTGGTGCGCCATTATCGTCCGTCACCTTGTGGCGGACACACCTTTCCAGTAATCTACACCAGTTTTCTCCTCATTAAGCCTTATTGTCTTCCTGAAACGGCAAAGCTAAAGATTAGTTATATTAAATAAGGCAATAAGAAGAGGATTTGTTGCAGTTGTTTGCCAAACCTTAAACTGCCAGATCCTTAGACCATTTAAGCTGAGAT